GTACAAAAATAGCTGAGTACTAATACTATTAAATCATTTCACTGGTTTATTTTGAAATACAATCATAAAGTGGATTGCCTACTTATAAAATTGTTTTCAACATCACTAATTATTGATTAAGAAAGATGTTTGTACTTGAAGAGTGGTTTGTTTTTCAGCAGTCTACCTGTCAGCATCAGAGAGAGCACTGTAAGCTGCTGCCCGCTCCTCAGAGAACTTCTGCTCCATGTTACTGAACAAAGTATTAAACTGCTGCAGACACAGCTTCATCTCCTCCAACTCATCACGAGAGTACTGTGGGGAGAAACTGTGAGTTTTACTTTTTGAGTTGTATACTCATGTAATATGTAGTAATGACAAACTTCACAGTGTGGCTCAATACATAAATAAAACATGCAATTRATTTTAGACAGATCAAGCAAAAGTAAAGTACAGTTAAAGACACTTGGGCTGCACAGAGGTAAACCTTTCTGTGTGGCATTTGCATGTCGACTTTGATCATTTCTAACCAAAATGGTTATGGCATTTGGTCTTTGTACCATTCATAGTTTTTGAAATATTAAGCTTTATTTGAGCTTCAGTAGGATACAGATGTCAGCAGCTTGGTRGTGTTGGTCCAATAACCCTGTGTGACAACTTTATGATGGAAGTTCTGACTTCAGTCTTACTTTCWTTAGACTCAAACTATCTCCAATCAGCAGCCAACAAATGTCCAGCTATCCCAAATGTTTTATCATTTTAAGTTGTTAGTTTCTATCCAATGCTGCCACCACTTTTGGCCATTTTCCCATCTTCCGCCTCTACTCTGTTTCAGCAGCATTGGTTAAAGCAAACAATGGTGGTTGTGACTTTAATGACAGTCGACCATTTTGCAAATTACAAATGATTTTATTTTACGCAGAATTATATTGTATTTCTTTTTTGATCGTTTATATGTTTTATTGTAATTAGTGTCATCCTTTTACTGTTATTTTATGTGTAGCTGCAAAGGATGATGGGTACAGATGCTTCAAAAAATCACACAAGCGCATCAATGAACTAATGACTTACAGGATAAGTTCTTGCTTTTCAAGCAAAAAGCTGTGGTTTGAATCCCTCCAAAGTCAGCTCAAACATCGAATAACCTGGAGATATTATTTAATTAAAAATAAACGTGTTTTGAATCGTTTCGTTTTCGCAATCTGCTAATTGTAATTAGCAGAATTAGAAATGCGCATGCACAGTTCCAAGGTATAATCATCTAGCACAAACAGAATGTTCTGATCTTAGCTGGCCCAACCTCGGCTAGCTTATTCTCAACACCTTAATCCGTAAACCCCCTGTTCCATATTTGGTCAGCGAGCAGCTCTGCACACAACCTTTTCCCTTGACATTCTACTTCAAAGAAACCTTCAACAGAACCAGGCTCAGGATGGGCAGGCCTCTGCCTCAACTGGTTGGGGTTGGAGAGGACCAGATAGGGACACAGAAAAACACAGAATGACTGGTTCTAGTGCAGTTTTTTATGGGAAGAAAGACGTAGAAAAACACAAGTTGATGACATCAATAATTATAAACACGAAGATAAGAATCAGCATCAGAGAGAGCGCTGTAAAGAAGACTCACTGGCAGAAAACAAAACATGAGAACAAGTGAGTTTGAGTAAGATTTGTCCAAATAGACTTACTGACCTCTATATATA